AAATCAATGGATTGTCACAATTCAGTCACGATTCAATTGAAAAAAATCAATTCTGTTTCAACACTGCTTAATGTAGTGACCTCCAGCAGCTGCAGGGGGTTGCAATCGCCCATTACATACAACATACGCATTGAAAAACAACTCTTCTTACACACACGGTGCAGTGTGTCGATCTTGAGATTAGAAATTCACGTGAAGAATAACGCATTTAGCCTCTGCTTGTGAATACTTATTTTGTATGCTTTGTTTTGGAACGTGTTTGTTTTTTTGTATTTTTTATTTTCAATAACCCAATGTAGAGTAAATATAATATTTCTATAGTAGGCTTTCCATTGGATAAATAAATTAGCCAAATTTGTGCCAAAACAGGTAATGGCTCTTACGAACGATGCTGTAACTCACTCAGTAGTGGAATGAGTCAGCATGCACACAGGGAGATGGGTATGGCATGAAATATCATGATGGTCCTGTGGGAATAATAATTTACACCTTTCACAAAAAGTCTCAAGGCACCATGACTGAAAAGAAGAAAGGCATTAAAGAAAGAACCGGGTTGCAGCACGACAGCCGGAGAGGAATGTAAATAATGAGGAAAAAGCTTTTTAAACGGATAGGTTTTTAGTCGGGATTGACTGATGTCGGCACTGTGCAAGCGCCTGGTAATGTGGGGGACCGGAGTGTGGCCGGCATTCCTGATGACCTCATTTGGCCGAAGAGGCCCAGCATCAATCGCATTTTAAACAAAACTTTTTGGTTTTTTCACTAGGTAAGGCCCACCTGAGCGAAAAAGCTCTTTTTCAGAAGCCACCTGGCCACAAATGACAGCTCAACGAAGTGGCTCAATATATGAAAATATATTTGCAGGCTTACTCTTAACTGGATGTTGATTCTTAATGTGGAGGAAAAAGCCAGACAACTCGGAGAAAAATCCACGCGGGGAGAGAGACACGCCAAGTCCAAATATACAGGCATGGTCAGGGTTGGGTTCGAACGCGTAGCGTTCTCTAAAAAGAGCGGCTGTGGCAGGTTAATCTGTAAAGCGCTGCTGCTTCTCATGCTGAGAAATCACAATCTGTAGTGCAGGTGCTCATTTTGCTGCACGACTCCTCTCACCGAGCTCATTGTGCAGCTCTATCCAAACAAATGAAGGCGTTGTTAAACATTTGTTATGGCCTGGAAAGAATTATTTGCATATCTATAACGGTAATTCACATATGTTTATTTATGGTTTGCTTTTATTCGGGGTGTGTTACTGTGTTAGGGAATAATAGAGTAAACGTATACCCAGGAAAGCTTGACGGAGGAATCCGATTTTTACGATCATTCTGTGAGTAATGGTGAGATAGATGATTGTTTTGTTATTTAATTGTCTGGAAGGAAACTGGAATAAATGTGTGGATATGAGAACAGATTGGTTTTAATCTGCACAAAATGTACAAAAAACCCAACCTGTATTGTGCGCAACAGACATCTCATGTTCCTGAAACATTTCAAAAAGTCACAGTGACTTGGGTTTGAGATCACAACCTTCTGAGCTGCTTGGTCGGACTATTTGTGATTTGCGAGGCCAGTTTGAAATTGTCAACATGACAGTTTGTTCATTACATTGGTATCTCATGTTGATATAATGTAGGATTCCTTTTATCAGGCCCCCTGCAGTTTGTGAATTATATCCTTGGAGGCCATGGGACCTGTAATGCTTCCTGTTATCTATGGATCCACCAAGGTTTTGCAGACGCATTGCTTGGCAGTAAAAAAAAACAATTGCAACATTAATATTCGGCTGTATTACATTTTCCACCCTTCAGCCTAGAGTTATCCTGGATTTTGGTGCAATGAGCGCATCGTGCATACAATGCAAAGTGGGGCATCCTTCTCATCTCTACTAGAGACCTATGGCTCGGTACACGTCGTATTTGGTGGCATTCCAGTATAACTTACTCTCTGAGACTAGTAGGGACAGAGGTGGGTCATGCTTGTACAGGAGAATAACAATTTACGTATTGTTAAATAAAAAAAATCCTTATCCACAATTATCTGTGTCACATGACAACATGACCAATCTCCTGTTGCCTTTATTCTTTGAAAGAACTGGATAACAAGAACATCTATCATCCATTTCTTATTTGCGGTCATAAAATGTGGATAAATGGGCAAAATCACACAAGGGCCAACACACATATTTGTTGTCACAATATTTAAATGCCTATTCCTTAACAAAGTGTGCTTTAGTGTAATCATGGGCTTGCACACAATGTACAGAATTTGTACTCAACATTGGGAATGTATTTATACCATTGTAAATATCATGAGCACTGACCCTGAACTGTATGTCTGTGGGTAAAGTCTGGGATAACACGATTTGGCTCCCGCCTTATCTGTTAAAAAATATGTATATCATAACCGGAAAATCGCGTTCCCTACTTTTTTTGATGCCTGCCTTCTATAACCAATCGTAGCCATTAATGAGAAGTGCAGTGTTTGCCGTGGCTGCATTACTCGTGCGGTGTAGACCCCCCCCCCCCCCCCCCTCCGGAGGTGTGCACACGTGTTCCCACCTTAGGGAGTTATTTTCTTTCCCCCCCCCTATTGAAAAGCCGCACTTTAGCATTAACATCTCTACTCTGGCCATCAGCAGGAAATGGTGAACCGGCAATTGATTCCTCACACAGCTCATCTCATATTTAAAATGGTGGATCTTAGGAAGCTATTTCCAGCACGCATTGTGTTTTATCCTTCATTTCTGGCGGTTGCCTGATGAGGCTGGCTGTAATCGCCGGCGAAACGTCGTACTCGGAATTGCAAATGTTGTGGGTTTACTTTCCAACACTGAACTAGTAACACTGAACTCGTAACGAATTGTCATGTTTTGTTTACATGACATATCTTACTAATTGGCCGTTTCTGGTGGTGGTGGTGGTGGTGGTTTTAACGACACATTTTCTTTACGTGATCTAACCCAAAGAAACTCTCATGGATAATATTGGTCGCGAAAGCCGACGTGTTAAACTGTATTTGCTGCTAATGCTCATTGGCCGGAGCCCACCCTGGAACCCGGACAAGAGGAATTGCAGGTAATAGGGTTCTTGATTAAAGGAATTTCGCTGTTATTGGGACCTCAAAGGCTGCTGCTTCTGCATGATTTATGCACAATGCATTATACTTTCAATATATACAGTGAAATGCCTCCTATATCACTTAAGTTTCTGTTCTTTCTGTTATTTGCACTCCCGAATTTGATCAGTGGAGAATCCCGTTATCCACACGTACATTTTATTCGTGTTTAGCCACCGAATTATTAACTGCATTTATCCACAGATAGCCAAACTGATTACAGTACTTCCTGCGAATAAACCGCGGATAAATGGAACTGCCAAAGCACTTCCCGCATTAATACAGTTTCACTCTACTATTTGTCTGCACAGATTTATGTTTGAAGGTGTTTGATAACAAAAAGTTTGGAGGTTTTGTAAGAGACGAATCACCTTAATCCTCCTGTTGCTTTATCCGCACTTACATGCCTTACGGCACAATATATTTGTGTTGAATATATATACTGTTGTTTATTTTAAATTAGTGCCAGTGCCCATTTGTTGATGCATCCTTGGTTTAAGTCGGTTATTTACACTGAGCCCATTGCACATGTTTAGTAAGTCGCTGCAGCTCGAACAATTATTTCGCAATTATATTTTTATCTTTACAACATAATTAATTGAGTCCACTTTTCTATAGATTCCATTTTATAAAGACTACTTTTTGTCTCAATTTGGCTTGCATCTGCCTCTTAAATAACTTCTTTGTGTATGATGATTGCTATCTTATTGTTATCATTACTCTAGGTTTATTTGATTTAAAAAAAAAAGTTTTCTATAAACATAATGTGTAAATTGGGAAATGATGAAAACAATGAGCTGTAACCTCTCCGTAAAAAGAGCACTCATTCTAAGCTGTACTCCATTGAGGAATCATTGCACATCGGTGTTTCCTGTCATCCGAGCCTAATGATCAGTCCTTCGGTGTTTGTATTTATTCATGGAGCCAGAAGTCATTTAGATTTAATTGCTTTAGGCAGGTGAATGGTTTGCAGTTTGTGACATTTATCCGTCAAAGCTGCTGTAGTCTGACACTGTGTGATAAGTGAGCCAGTGGTCCTGGGTAAAGATGTTTGAACAGAGTTTATCATTGCAGTTGAAGGTTTTAAGAAATTGTGCCAACTATCCAATGACTTCCGTAATAGAGGTTTTTGGGTTGGATCGCGTAAATAAATAAATGTGTCGTTAAAACCCGCCACCACCCGACACAGCCAACTAGTAAGAGTTGTCATGTCAACAGAACGTGCCAATTCGTCACGAGTACAGCACACCGGTGTGTTGGAGAGCCAAGCCACAACATTTACAATCTGAGTATGACGTTTCGCCAGTAATTACAACTAGCTTCATCAGGCGACAGCCAGATTTGTCGCCAGATTTGTCGCCTGATGAAGCTAGTTGTAATTACTGGCGAAACGTCGTACTCCGTTTGTAAATGTTGTGGCTTGGCTCTCCAACACACCGGTGTGCTGTACTAGTGACGAATTGGCATGTTCTGTTTCGGGTGGTGTCGGGTGTTAACGACACATCTATATATTTACGCGATCTAACCCAAAAACCTCTTGTGGATGATATTGGTCGTGAAAGCCTACCACGTGTTAAACAATGACTGTAAATTGCTTTATTCACCACTGTCTCGGAATGTTTGATGTGCCATTGAGCTGTTGGGCTTCAACTTTCCTGTTACTTCTTATCCCAAGGCAGTGCGCTATAACATGCCACTTTCAGCCACGTCGTAGTAAGATGATGAAGAAATACCCACTAATTTTGTTTAAAAAATATCAGTGGAAATATACACTTTATTTTTTAAAATAAATTAATTTATACTTTTGTTCATTTTTTATTATAATTTTTTCTGTCTACGTGACTTTACCGAAAGAACCATAGAATATGGATATATACAGTCATTCATGGCCATGGCTCATGTATCTAAAGGAATTACTTTTCACATTTCGACGATGGTAATTTTCAGATCCGTGCACCCTTCTCTTCATCAACCCACACTTGTGTGAAATATCACAAAACACCCCCTCCATTACTACCATGCATAAGGAGGCCTTCATCGAGCAATAGATGCATGTTCATATTTATCTATTTCATAAGATTTTCACAAATTATGTTTGCATTTCAATGTTGGTACACAACAATCTACATGAATGAATGCTGTCACGTTAATGGGTGGCTATAGAGACGGAAACGTTAACCCAGTACAAACGGACTAATTTGTAAATATGCTGACCACTAAGACACTTCCGACTGGTTTCTATACGAGGCCGAGGTTGTATGACACGGCGAAGTAGTTTTGGATAACTGAAGTCGGTAACGAACGCAACATAGCGGTGTGCCTATAAAATAACGTTTTAAATCACTGCATATGATCTGCTGTGACATGGATCAAAAACAGGGAGGCACAAAGCAAATGGAATAAATGTGAGCTGTGCCAAAAGTGCCGCGGGAGAGATGCGTGCTTCTTGTCGCATTGAAATATATGGAAGAGGAACACGCACAGATCAGAGAACATATGCAAATTAGAGACATCGATTGTTAATAACGTAAATGGGCGTTGCCATGACACTTGAGTGGAGGGGATGATGGCTTGAGGCGCCCGATGCAGTGGCAGCCAAAGGAGGGTAAACATCCCAGAGGGATGACCACCGTGGAGCGGGAGCAATGAGATTGGCTCGTGTGCAGGATCTCGATATATTGTTACATGCCGAGGCCATGAGTGATGGCGATGACTTGGAGAGGCCTTCATATAGCAATGAATGGATCATGGCTGATCCTAAAATGTCAAAGACAGGACGGTTCATTTAAATGGTTTTAAGTCAATGGAATCTAAAATTGGGAAGATGCAGTTGTTTTGCAGTGATCGTGGACTTTCTAACAGTTGTAATGCCGCATATAAACATTACTCAAAATTAGGAAGCGGAAAATAAAATATTCGCATCTCATGCAACTTATTATGTCCCCCTTACACGAGAGATCTCTCTCAGCACAGCTTACAAATGCAAACGCGTGTCAGGATGGCGCCGCGTAACAGACGGACGGAGATGTCTTAGCGCACAGTGAATGGGTTAAGTATCCCCGCTGCTCACTGGAATGCAGCCACACCTGCTTATTGTGAACAGCCGAGGATCCTGCTACACGGCCTTGAGGCTTTTCGGGGCGGAATTGTGCTGAAATCAGTAGGAGCCACCGATCCAGTTCGCCTGCCTGCAGTAGCAAATGCAGGCGCACCCCACACACCCTTAAGACATTAAGTATTTATCTCGCGGGGGGGGGGGGGGGGTGGTTGGAGCCCCGAGCACCATCTCTGCAGCACTGGCAAGCGGTGGTGCAAGTAGTAGCATGGCGTGCCTTGGCTGCTGGACCTGCCGAAAGGTAAAACCCGCTTGTGCGTTTTGTAATTTTTGGCTCGTTCAATTTTTGTTTCTGGGACATTTGCATATTTTGTTCGAGCCGCATTGCAAGTGGTTTCCTTGCAGAGTGCATGCAGCTAAATTGCTGCGTTATTAATTCGTGTGCATTGCAGGCATTTTTATAATCTCACGGAAATTTATTCCTATTATTTATATTGTTGTTGCTAATGTTGTCAATCAATAAGCAGCCATTTGTGTGCAACATTTAAGGCGCTCTTTGCATTAATACAGATTAGTTGGTACAAGACTGAATGAGATGGATGATGTCTCTGGGTATTCTTTGGGTTGGGCGACCATGAAGCTCAAATGAGATACTTAGAAGCTTCAAGATGCTTATAAGCATTTCTTAAACCAGTATTATCTTTCAAGATTGTCACTGTACGGCCTTGTAATTCCATCTCGGTGTACTATATCTCTAATCCCAGCAGTCGGCACAGCCAATCGGTTACTTTAATTTACATATGTGTACAACACAATGACACTTTGAAATCTCCATAAATTAGTGTGAAGTGTGTCATTGGCTTTTGTACTTGCCCTTTTATGAATGTATTCCTTTTAAAATATGCGTTTATCAGGACAGTTAACCTTGGGTCACTTGTTTGGTGCTTTAACAGAATAAATATCAGAAGACAATACATCTCAACATAATTTGTTTACACGTAAGAAATATAAATTATTTCTTATAGAACCCATAAGCTACATGGCCTTCTGGGATGCATAAGTTCAGCAGCATTAGTTCAAGACAAGCCAACTCTGGACCTGTTTCGACATGCAGTATCTTAAGGTGTCATGCTTGCTTGAATCAAAGCTGGTGAACTGATCTTAAAGAATAGGACCCTCTATTTACGATATGGGTTCCTAGTTAAATGCAAATTCATATAATTATATTTTGTCATATAAAATAATAGTATATGTGTGAGATATGGCTGGAGGCCCAGTATTTATTGGATGTTCGTGTCGTGTTTCTGTGACTAGTAGTAGGTGAGCTCGTATCGTAATGTGACTTATCCAGGTTTGTTTGTTCTTGTGACTTTGGAAACGGACCTGTGACAGCATGACCTGCTGGCCTCAGTCCAATTGGGTTGTTTCGCATAACGTGGCTAGGCTGCTTTGGGCTGACTCCAGACTATATAATTACGTGACAGCACTCCAGGCAGTGGTGTCACAGCCTCTTGCAATCACTTGGCTTATAATAAACACAAATACGAGCACAATGATATGAAATGTAGACGTAAAAATGGTTATGAATGTATAGAGTCTTGAAGACAATGGTAAAACTTAATTTTGTATGTAGGCTTTCACGACCATTATTAAGATTCAGATTGAGTTTCTGTTGGGTTGGATCACCGTGACGTTATAATTCCAATGTTCAACTACAGTATACCCATTGCTGGACAAGAATTGTCAATTTCTCTGGCTTTTCAACATTTCTCCGGTTTTCAGTTGACATATTTGTCCACGTGACAACTTGATTTGATTGGTTCTGTCGGGTGACAGACGGTTATAGTTGAATATTCGCATTCTAATTACACGGTCTCCCTCTCCTACCTCCACCGATCTTGACTGGAATCTTGACCAATGAGGGCACATTAGTCACAAGGCCACAGAGGATAGGGAGATAGAGTATTTGAAGAGGAATACGGAAAAATGGGACAAACATTGGGGAATGAGGCAACTCTGATGTTGAGAATATGAACCGGAAACTGTCAATCCTGGTAATGCTGACTCGAAACGTTGACTTGACCTTCCTGAGTAACCCACTGAGCATGATGCACATTATTGTGAATTAGGCCATTAGTGTTCGTAAACTTACCCCCACCCCTGCTTTCCTTGTAATAGGAGATGGCCAATAACATGAATCGGTTTTTAAAAGTGGTCACTACTGACAGCGGAAGAGAAACAGGAAGGTCTTGAGCCCAGACCATGCCCTCAGTTACTACCACTGACAGCGGAAAAGCAACAGGAAGGTCTTGAGCCCAGACCATGCCCTCAGTTGCTACCACTGACAGCGGAAGAGAAACAGGAAGGTCTTGAGCCCAGGCCATGCCCTCAGTTGCTACCACTGACAGCGGAAGAGAAACAGGAAGGTCTTGAGCCCAGGCCATGCCCTCAGTTGCTACCACTGACAGCGGAAAAGCAACAGGAAGGTCTTGAGCCCAGACCATGCCCTCAGTTACTACCACTGACAGCGGAAAAGCAACAGGAAGGTCTTGAGCCCAGACCATGCCCTCAGTTGCTACCACTGACAGCGGAAGAGAAACAGGAAGGTCTTGAGCCCAGGCCATGCCCTCAGTTGCTACCACTGACAGCGGAAGAGAAACAGGAAGGTCTTGAGCCCAGGCCATGCCCTCAGTTGCTACCACTGACAGCGGAAGAGAAACAGGAAGGTCTTGAGCCCAGGCCATGCCCTCAGTTGCTACCACTGACAGCGGAAGAGAAACAGGAAGGTCTTGAGCCCAGACCATGCCCTCAGTTGCTACCACTGACAGCGGAAGAGAAACAGGAAGGTCTTGAGCCCAGACCATGCCCTCAGTTGCTACCACTGACAGCGGAAGAGAAACAGGAAGGTGTTGAGCCCAGACCATGCCCTCAGTTGCTACCACTGACAGCGGAAGAGAAACAGGAAGGTCTTGAGCCCAGACCATGCCCTCAGTTGCTACCACTGACAGCGGAAGAGAAACAGGAAGGTCTAGAGCCCAGACCATGCCCTCAGTTGCTACCACTGACAGCGGAAGAGAAACAGGAAGGTCTTGAGCCCAGGCCATGCCCTCAGTTGCTACCACTGACAGCGGAAGAGAAACAGGAAGGTCTTGAGCCCAGACCATGCCCTCAGTTGCTACCACTGACAGCGGAAGAGAAACCGGAAGGTCTGGAGCCCAGACCATGCCCTCAGTTGCTACCACTGACAGCGGAAGAGAAACATGAAGGTCTTGAGCCCAGACCATGCCCTCAGTTGCTACCACTGACAGCGGAAGAGAAACAGGAAGGTCTTGAGCCCAGACCATGCCCTCAGTTGCTACCACTGACAGCGGAAGAGAAACAGGAAGGTCTTGAGCCCAGACCATGCCCTCAGTTGCTACCACTGACAGCGGAAGAGAAACAGGAAGGTCTTGAGCCCAGACCATGCCCTCAGTTGCTACCACTGACAGCGGAAGAGAAACAGGAAGGTCTTGAGCCCAGACTTGAGCAAGGGCAGGGAGTTGGCATCACAGATTGCTGGGGGAAGGTAATTACAGACAAAACATGGGCAGGAGCAGAGGGGTATAACCCCTCATTGAATGGAGGCAGTCTGAGAGTTTCCAGCGGTTGCCTGAATTACGCGAGCGGAGAACATGTGTTGGGGAGGAGACCAGGCAGAGAAGAGAGTTGGCATGGTTGGCTGCATACGGCGCGAAATAAGTTCAACGTACATACAGAGTTGGCTACGGGCAAGTCCGTGGAGGATCTTGATGTCGGTGAGGCCAATCTTATAGTTAATGCAGGAATGTTTGTTTGGGAGCTGGTGGAAGGGTCTGAGGAAATGTATACCCGTGAAAGTTAGAGGATTCCATATTCAGAAAGTGGAGTCCTGGGTAGTGGGTGCTTTACCAAACACAGATTACTTCTCATTTGCTAATGAGATTCACACACATTGGAAGTGTCCTGTCTCTTACAAATTTCCACCATGACGTGAGCTCTATGGTGATCAAAGCTGCTTGAAGTACTGGAACCCCATATTTTAAGGCGAGGGTCCTTGCCTTTGAAGATCGGAAGTTCACTTGCATTGGTTCAAGCAGCCCTGACTACTGATGAGACACTGTGTTTTAAAACATAGAGTTTGCTCATCTTGAAACAATGCTGCTGAAATTATGCACTTTAATATGAAGGAGACATGTTTTTTTTACGTGGAGAGATGGATTAAAAGTGAAGGAGACGGCGCTTATTGCATTATTTATATAATCTACAACAATGCTCGTAATTTTTTAGAGTTATGCTTGAAGTAAGGAAGGTTGCCGCGTTGTTGGAAAAGGCTAACGTGCCGGTATGTATTATGTGCCATAGAAAATAATGTTAGAATTGTATATTCAGCCATTTATGCTGGGCTGTTGGAGATTATGAACTAATGCAATGTGTCGTTATTCAGTTTGCTGTGATTTGGCGATACTACAATATATCGTACGCTATAAGGTCCACGATAATCATATAATTTGATTTAAAAAATATCATCATAGTGATTAGGTTGCTCGTGTAATATTCTTTCAGTACTTCAAAATGATAATATTGCAAGCAATCCCAATTCTTACTCTTCTGATTTGGCGACAAAGTAATGGGACGGTTATCTGTTAACTGTATTGGGAGAGAGAAAATGACCGTTTTATTTTTGTCCTTGCAGAAGAGAATTTATTGTCACAGCTGGAACTTATCCAAATTGAGTGCAGAACCGAATCTAATAAGGCTCAACTCTGACACCCTTTTTTGTACAGCCGTTTATGACTCGGCTGACACTGTTATGACTCGGCTGACACTGTTAACTCTCACAGTGCTTGAGAACCTTGGCTCCATCACAGTGGGCCACCCAGATTCGAGCCTCGGTATCTCAGCGGTGCCACCTCAGTGCTTTGAAACTTTTAAGTCACTTGCCTACCTGCTTTTGCACCACTTCAAAATAATTTTTCCAGGTGGCCAGGTGGTTTAGATGTCAGAGCGTTGAGGCGGCACGAATGAGTTTTTGGCCGGGAGGGTTCGACGTTGGGAAACTGCCCATGACTTAAAGCCCGATCTCAACCGTAGCGGGTTGATGGGCTCAGCTCGGTTACGAATGACTGCACACAAAAAAACTCCCCTCATAATCGATTTATTTGGGTTTGCACTTAATTTGACTAAATTCCATTTCTGAGAATTAAAACAATATTTATATAAATGGTTGACTGCCATGCAACAATCTCAATCCCATAGCCGTGTGGGGAGAGCAACACCGCCTGCTGTGTAAAGATAAAAAGTGACTTGAAGGATTTTTTCATAACTTAAAAAAAATCACTTCTGAGTGCCATTTTCAGACAGACGAGATAGGCTTCTCTGTGATATTTACAAATGGATTCTTCTCCTCATGACTAAATTCCATTGGCATGTTTTGCATAAGTTGGGAAAAATAAGACAAAATGTTTAGATAATATTGATCATTTGTCTTGGCACCACCTTAGTGCCACCTACAGAAGCATGAGCAAAACCCTTCCCCACCCATCCTTTGTGACAGAAGCAGCACTCACACAGATACACTCCCCATGTTAACCTCCTCCCCACCCTGTGCTGGTTAGTGCCAGTTGTTCATACACGCACGCGCACGACCTCGTACGCGCACACGACCCCGTACACGCACACGACCTCGTAAACGTACACGGCCTCGTACACGCACGTACACGACCTTGTACACACACATGACCTCAAATACAGCACGCACACAACCTCATACACACACACGCACACGACCTCAGGAATGTTACTGAACAATTAAAATTTTACCAAGTAAGGCCCACTGAGCTATATAGCTATTTTTAAGAAGTGACCTGGCCACAAATGATGGCTCAACGAAGTTGCTTTCTTGTGTAAATTTATAGCAGCGAAATACTCAAAGTGCATGTTTCTATATATAGAGGGAAAGAACTGGAGGACCCGGAGAAAAATCACACGGAGAACATGCAAACCCCAAATATGTATAGGCATGAGGGTTAGGTTCGAACCCACGACTTCCTGTGTACCAGGCGAGGTAGTTAACATCTCCTAGCCATCGCTAGGATCGTTGGCTCAACATGAAGTAATTGTAGTAAAAGCCCTCTCACTGTACTCAATGCTCACCTCGTGTTGGTTGCTGTGCTAAATATATAACCCAATTTCACCCCTTGTATTTACTCCAGGATTCATTAGCAGAAGAGAATTGTTCATCTCAGTGGGGCCTCTTCTTGTTTTAAATAAAGTTAATTGGTTGGCCAAATGCAAGAGGGATACATTACTTTTCCATATCAGTGATGTTCATTGCTGTAATTTTTAAAAAGAGAATAAACATGCAGACACCAGTGTTCCCAATGGAAATTATTGTTGCTATTAAAGTACGGAGGTGTTTTAGTGACCAGATTTTTTTTATGTCATATAGCTTCGACTTCTAAACTTTTAAGGAACTATATGACACTGGAAGCAAACTGATATGAAATGCCAGGTAAGAAGAGATGCCTCTGGGAACTTTCTGATGGGACTCAGGCTTGAAGTCCAAAGATCTGACCGCACCAGTTGTGTGATATCAGAAGGAAGCAGTGATGCTGTGGGGTGGCATCACTTACTCAGCTGTGATGAGGGCTTTTGACTGAACGTTCGGGAGCTGTGTGTGATGAAAAGCGATAACTTCCATGTGTTTGTTGGGCATATTTGTGTTCCAGGCGGAGTCTGGCTATGGATCTGAAGCAAATCTGCGCCGCCATGGCTCCATGCTGTCAGTCACTTCTGCTACGAGCAGCTTCTCGGCCACTTCAACCTCTTCCTTAAAGGTGCCACACGTGGGCTCTTAAATGCGTTGATATCTACAAAGTTGCTGGCGGTCGTTCAAACAAACGTTTGGGTTAAGTTCAGAGAGTATATTGATTGCAGAATGCACCAATTCCATTGTCTGCATTTTTGTGTTTAAAATTGTTTTTGTTCATGCAAATTAAGTATTTATGGATGCTTTGATTTAAAGCTTTCGTAACTGCAGAGATTCGTATTCTTGGTTCTTTCGGTAAAGTCACGTAGAAGGGAAACAATAAAATAATAAAAAATATAAAACAATACAATTCTCACGATGTTTCGACTTTTTTCTTGCTGTGGTTTTCACACCTGATGATGATTGCTTGTGTTGCAGTCGAAACGTCGTGAGAATTGTATTGTTTTATATTTTTATTACTTTATTGTTTCCCTTCTACGTGACTTTACCGAAAGAACCCAAGAATATTTATGGATGCATTGCATAAGGAAAGAAGGCCACTGCCTTGGTGCAATTAGCACACTGGACCTGAAATTCAAGGATCGCCAGTTTGATTTAATCTCGCAGCTACACAGTTGAAACAATGGGGCACTTTTTAAAATTCATCCCACCCACCTTCCCCTGCTCTCTACCCAGTGGTGTTAAAGGGTACAGCGCACAGTTGTTCGATCAGTGGGATGCATGCTGTGGGGTAGAGTGGGTAATCCCACCTCTTCACATCTGGCCAGAGTGGAAGAGTAGGCCAAATACCCTTTTGAGGGGGCTCCACAGAGCTCCATCGTGCGTAGACTGTAGTCACATGAGCAAGCAGTCGGGTGGCAGCACCTTTTACCCTTCCAAACAAAGTCGAGTGGCTAGGCATGAGATATCCAGGACATTTCTATAAATGTTTCCATTGCATACTCGTGCATGACCATAAAAATGTAGATTGTATAAAAAGGGAGCAACATTTATGTGAAGATTAAAATCTGGCTGAATATTTAAACGTTCATAGGTTTTGTTTTCTATGCCAGCATTCAGTGTGGGTTACTGATTAATCAGCTGCTCATGCCTCACCCATGACCTCCCCTTGTCCTACACTTGGGAAACCAACTCTGCAACATTGAGCAGACAATACGTACGCCTCATTTCCATGCCCCTCTACATACAAATATACATGAAAATATTTGTCTTATTACATCCTATCAATCCCACATTCTTCTCGCAGTTCATTTTTAAACTGTGTAAAAAAAATTGTTCCTAGGTACTGTGTCATTTTCCAATTGTTTATGCTATTATTCCCCACAAACTTTGCTTTTGTGACCAGGACACAAATGCAAAGTTAATAATCCACTCCATTAATAATAACACTGTGTAACAAATTTATTTATTTTTTATTCCTGGGTAGTAAGTGTTATTTTCTAATTTCTTATGCCTCAAAAGTACAGAAAATTGCTATTATTCCCCACAAACTTTGCCTTTGTGACCAGGACAGTGATATTTAGAAAATTACATAATTTCAATGAGAAAACGTGGTGTGCATTTTTGTCATTCCTTTACATAAAGTCCTGGTCACAAAAGAAAAGTTTGTGGGGAATAATAGGTATTTCTATACTTTTGAGGCATAAGCAATTAGAAAATAACACTTTTACTGTACTGGTTTCAACCATCGGTGCCTCATCAGCATAGTTAGGCCTGCTTAAACCAATGCTGGTGAACGGCCAGATGTTTATTCTTCAAGCACCTACTCTTATCAGATATTAGTCTTGGTTCAATACAAAACTATATTCTAAATATGGGTTACTTTGCTTGAACAGTTGTTGTTTCTGGTTAGCAGGAGCCCACAATGCCCCTTTTAGGTGTGGTACAATGTCACTCATTGCTTCCAATGAAATATGCTTGCAGTGCATTCTCTGCAATACTTTTGCTTTTATTCTTTTAGAGCGACAAAATAGTATTGGAACTACTTATTTAAATGGCTAATTGCTTTTTATTTCACGAGCACAAAATCTCACTGTTGGATAAAGGCCCTCCCCATGTCGTCGCCATCTGTGCTCGTAGTCCTGCGTAGTAGCCATCTATCCAACACCTCTACCCGCGCTAATTTCATCGCTCCGTCTACGTAAAGAACGTATTTCCAGGCGTGTGTTTTCCTCCTTTGGCTGCCACTCGGGCCGCTGGTCTCAACCGCTGATGACGCGTCCCACCCAGAAGCCCCCACTTGCCTTTGCACGGCCTCGACCACGTGGCATCTCGACGCAAAAGGCAAGCGGTGGCTGTGTCCCATTTCGCTGCAGAAGGGGCGCAGCCTCAGGGAGAAGTTGTTGGAGCTGGAAACGTTCCGGGACATCCTGTGCCGCCAGGTGGACTCGCTACAGAAGTACTTCAACGCCTGCGCGGGTTCCAATGACTACCTGCACCGGGACGCAGGTGAGGCAACTGGGGCAGGATGGTCTTCGCGGGGCCATTGTGCGTTAACGTCGTTGCGTCAAAATGGAGTTTCATAAGCGGCGGCCGATTTTATTGAATGACGTACCTTATTAAAGTAAATTGTTTTGCGTTTTATGCCCCGTGGTCATGTGGATTTTTCTCAGGGCCCTCCCGGTTTTTCCCTCCACATTCAGAAACGTGCGTTTTGAGTATTTGGCCGCTATAACTGTCCACGTGATGAGACATGTCGTTGAGTTGTCATTTGTGGCAAGGTCACTTCTGAAAAAAAGCTGTGTAGCTCAGTGGGCCTTACCTGGCAATATTAAAATTGGATATAAAATAAATAAAATATCTGTTTTATCGACTATGTTAGACATAAACATAACTGAGTAATTTACAGAATGTTGTAAATCTGATCAAAAATAAGAATAGGTTTTACCCTGGCAATAAAACAGAATTTTAATCACCAAATAGACACCTTTTGTGCAAGGCATCAAGTCTGCAATTAATCACACATACCTGTGGAAAGACATGCAAATAAGAATGCTCTGTTGCAAATCTACTGCTGAATAAGGCCATCCCTGTGCCATGTTGGCTCAGGTGGTTGTTTAACCCCTGCACAGTATTTGGCTTTGGCGGTTCTTGTGGTTTTGTTAGCGGCACGCCTGTTGGTGGATCGCACAATTGCGTGAACTCGCCAAACCCACTGGGGCTGCGAAGTCGCCATCTCCTGGCTTGCTAGGGTATGGCAATACCACATTAAATCTATACGGAGATAGAGTTGTTACCCCCCTGGCCTGCGTGGGTGTTCTCTGGGTACACGTGTTTCCTCCCACGTGTATAATCACTCATGATTTAATTAGGTCCACAGAGCTTGGGCAGTTGTTGCTGGTCCTGGCTGCTCTGCCAATCTATAAGAATAAGTTTTACCCTTTCTGGCAATAAAACAGGTGTTAAAATGTTACAACACCAAACGGAAACCTTCTGCAAGAAATCATGTCTACATTAATCACATATACCCGTGGCGAACATGCAAACAAAAAGACGTGCTCTGATAGTATATGCATTGTTTTTTTTAAACTGATTGTTCCACACCAGAGACAGCTTTCTTTAGAGCCTAGTTTTAAACAGTGTTAGACCAGAGGACGCCAAAAGGCGAACAGCACCAAGACAATGCCACTATCAGGACACTGAGAGCTCGGGTGAGCAGTTACATCATGGGACCTCCCTTGCCAGCATCAAAATCTAAGTTTAGGTTTTACCCTTTCTTGCATTAAGATGTTAAAACACCAAACAGAAACATTTTGGTTTAACACTGTTTGAGACGGCTCTAAAGAAAGCTGTCTGGTGTGGACCAATCGGTTTGTTCTTGTTAAAATTAATGTTTATAACTTACAGCAAACTGTGAATGAGTATAACTGATTACATTTTAGGTGGGGATGGTAGTATACAATGTGGCTCTGTGCACAGCTGGGCAATCTGTCTTTCTTGAGACTCTGACCTGCATTGTAATTTGTAAATGATCAGTTTGTATCATCCATATATTAATAACTACCTTATTGCAATTTTTTTACATTTTCACAAGTACTTATTTTCAGTACCTATTGCCTGGTTGCGGGAGAATTGTTATTCTCCAGAATGGATTTTTTTGTATTCATCAGTCTCACCCGTTGAAAGGATGATATCACGCTGGATTCCATAACATCATTGTTATTCTCGTGTGTATTTGCAAATATACTTTAGTGTACTCATTGTTCGTATCTCAAGGTCAGTGCCTTGACACTTTCTCTATAAATAAATACAAGATTGGAGACTCGAATAAGACTGTTAGCCAGATTATCTGTGCACCCAGTCACGTTTTCTTCTGCCATTCCCATCTCAAGTTTAGTTGGTTAGTTTTACTCATTAATAAGTTAACAGGAACAAATTAAACAACCCTAGTATAGAAATCTCAACGTCATCTCGCACCGTAAATAGTCCACAGCCACTCGGCAGCCAACTTGTCATACTGACATTTGTTTTTGAGCTTTGTTTTGTATTATGTAACGGTAGCAAGTGTTGGCCCATTACACACAATCACTGTCACGATTGAAAAACACAGGAGAGGTACGTTTTTCACTCTATAAGTCAGTAAACTCATTTTAGTTTTCAACATAACCTCGGGCACTTAACCATAAACCATACGGAAGATAAACATGCTTTATTTTTTTCCAGAGCCTAATCTGCATGATCTAATTGTATGTAACATTGCTTGGTTGCCCGGTGCGATATTTAAATTAATAACTGATTGGGAAGGTTCACAATACCGATTAAGAACCATTTAGTTGTTAACATTAAAATGGCAGTGTTCCTTTCAAAGTGTCCAAATGGCTCATTGGATAACCGGAGTGGTTGGCGAGTTCCAGGCGGTCGCAGTGGTGACCGACTGGACTGCAGCCACAGTTGAGCTCACAGCGAGTCTGAAACGTGGTATATGCAGAGAGAATACACTGGCTTATTCCAGATTTACCACACAGAAATAACACTTGGATGTATACGAAGAACATTGTTATAAAAGTTTCAGTGTGCAGAGAAAAGCACTGCTAGCGTTTAAAGATACTGAATTGAAATATAGTGATTGTTTAACTTACTCTTTGTGCATACATTTCAATGAAGTAAATAACTCGCTGAGTAATGTATTATTTCTACATGCTCAAACTGATCTGGGGTTTTTTTTTATCTGATTTAATTCGTACTTTTAGTCAGCCTTCGAATGTTACCCTATTTTATTGACGTTCTTGGAATTCCATGGCATGTCAAGAACGTTTTTAAAGTTCATCATTGCGACTGTGTGTAGATTACGCGCAGACCCACTGTAGCATTGTAGCCTTGGGGAGCATTCCCTAGAGACAATGAGACATTTACAATGACCTCCTTATGCAATTGTTAGTGCAGTTATCTTGCTTCGTGGACTCGGATATGGTAGGTTAAACAAAGGTGATAGTAAACACGATTGGAAGTGAATGCTAGAAATGTAGTTGTTATAATAAGTCGAGTTTGACTCGATGCTCTAAAACATGTGATTTACTTTCCTAATACTGGCAGAAGGATCCATATATATGAAAATATTGCATGCCAAACAGAGCTTTTTACCATCAACAGCAGTAATAGCTGTAAGCTATCAGTGTTTTTAACTTATATAGAGCACACTATGATGAAAGATATTTTTTTTAGAAATTAGTTTGTATGCGTTTATGCTGCGTATCGACTAGACAAGCAGGATATGTGTGTTCGTCGGGTAAGTGGGCAATTCTTAAGGAATACATCATGAATGGTTTGAATGTCGATTGTTGTCAGATGATTTGACTCCAACTTTCAGATGACAAAGCAACTGCTCAGATTTAGAATTCAGAGCAGAAGTGGTTTTGGAAAGGTCCAGTCTTACTCAAACCGTACACTTATAATTATTAACAGCTCATCGCGGACCACATTCACAATAGAGGTCAATGTCTAAATTATCGCCACAGTGGAGTAGCGCGATTACCCCTCCACATTGTTTCCTCTAGTGTGGTTTATGAGCAGAAGCCATCAAACACAAACTATAAATCAGGGTTGTTTCCGCTTTTGCATTTATTGGGATTACAAGTACTGTAGTGGGAATTTTCACATAAAGTCGGACTCCTGTGCAAAACGCTTGCTATACGAGAGGATGACTGATAATACAAATTAAATTTCCATTGAAATTTCCATTGAAATTTAATCACTGAATGATAATGTTATGGACTGTGATAATGGTTCACTGTTGAGTTGTTTTTATAACCAGTTTAACAATTTCAAGAGTATTTCATTTTCTTTTAGTGTCTGTTTAAAAATCATAATGTCAGGTCAGGCCAAAAACACAAGCCTGTAGTTCATTATCTTTTAAACTATTCTTCTGACTTTGTGAACTAGATTACTTCGATTTTTGTTAGTTGATTCTTACGTTCGCTTAAACATACTACAGTTCATATGTATTGTTAAAACATGATGCGAGAGTGAGAGAGGGTGAGCGTGGGTGAGAGTGGATAGAGGGTAAGAGTGGAGAGTGGGTGGTGCAGCAATTAGCACACTGCGCTACAAACCCGGCGACCCAAGTTTGATTCCCGCTCGTGACAAATAACAGTGGCAAATATTGAACCGGTCCTTGGCCTCCCCTAGGTTGACTCAGCCTCAAATGAGTACCTGGTGCAATGTGTAAACATCACCACTGTGGAGACAAAGGAGGCCGGGCGTGGTGCTGACCACCCACCCCCTCGTGTGCCGTGCCGGCCTTCATAGGCGCTCGCTTAACAGAATTTTCCGCAACAGTTTGTTAAAGACTGCGCTGGGGATTTTTGTCTTTGTCTTATGATGCTGTGACGCTTTAGCGGAGCTGGAGGAGGATGTCGATGACGATGATCTGCCTACGCCACGACCTAATGGAGAGGTTCCGCCCAACAGCAATGGCAGTAAGGACAAAGGTACGATCGTGAACTTTGGCATCTCTGCTAAGTGTACGTGTGCTATTTGCACACTTCGCTGCTGTAATTTGGACCTTACACCTTGGCAGTGGTCTTCATTAAATGTGTCGTTTGAACCGACGTTTACTGCAGCATTGGCCTTTATTGATGGATCCTTAGGCAATATTGCAGCAATAGTGGTTGCACTTCTTCTTCTGGCTTGTTCGAGCTGGGTTTTTGTTGGGCAGTTTTGTTCATGCATACCTTTATATCAATTCCACCAATATAGCAATTAACCAGATTTCATGTTTCCTGATTTAATGTTAAATTTTAATAATAATAAAATTAAATATATATGGCGCCTTTCCATTCCACGGCGACGTACAATGGCCCTTTTTCTAAAACATCATTGCACTGAACTTGACAACGTTACTGCATTCGACTGACACACTTAAACAGAGGCAGGTTTTAAGTCCTTACCTAAGACGAAGCAAGCAAGATGGAATTTTTGTACAATCGAATCCAATCTATGCACAAATCATTTAAGAACCCTTTGAGCAAACCTATAGCCATATTTACTAGGAACGATCCCAAAGAAACGTCCCAGGCCATTACCAAATCATCTTAATTGATCCTTGATCTGGTCCTTATAAATATAAATTAATACTGATGGGAACATCTGTCTTTATTGAGTGTGACCATGACATGAGACATTGATAAATGTTATCGGAACCACTGATTGGACACAGATCATTAGCCAGTGCTTGCTGCTGTGATACCACGTCGATCTCGTGTGAGCACTGATGGGACGAGACCACCGTTGTCGTGGGGTCGTGGTCCCTTACGGACCACAGCGCCGCTAATCTCATGGCCGGCAACAGACGAGACGAGCGAGTGCGCACCCTTGTGTTACTAATACCATGTGTGAATGAGATGCAGCCCGGGGTAAGTCTTGAAACTCCATCACGTGTTCAGCACAGCGCGTAGCACATCGGGGGAGCTGCTCCGTTCAGGCTCCGCCCCGAGTCTTTTCTCTCCGCTCCTTTTTCCCCTCTACCACCGTCTTTTCTTACTTTCCATGACTCTCCACCAATCCACTTCGTGTCTCCTAATGGTCTCCCATTCGACCCCTCATTTTGCATTTGTCTTTCTTCCCCGGGCTCCTTCGAATTACCCTGACGACCAATCTGGATTGAATGCTCCTCCACCTTCAAATCAGATTGTGCACCCCTACATGTCGGCTCCCCCCTCTTGTGTGATAGCTCCCCGCCAATGAGAGTCGAGCGCACGATTTGAACTCGCAGGGCCGTTAGAGCCGATGAGTATAAGTTTCTCGAGTATAAGTTTCTCGATAGGAGTTGCGTCTCGGCGTCGGTTACAGGTGTATTGAGGCATTAAGTGCAGGGTTACCCCCACGCCTCGCGATCTGTTGACGGAGCGCTGAACGGCTCAACAACTCGACAGCTATCGCCTCCTCAAGACTGGTACTCTTGACAACAACCCTCCTTTTCCACGATTTTTTTTTAGGCACAGCCCACTGTACTCTTCATAGAAATTTCATCGTACTTTAATAATATTAACATCTATGGGACCTTTTCTGCAAGTGTAGTGGCATCGGGGGATGCCACTGCGTGACACGTAAGACCGGCCTGTGTGTGAATCGGGGGGACACGCTACTCACACCACCCACAGCGCGGCAGTTGTGCGACATTGCACTCCGTGTGCAGGGCCAGCCCTGAAGGCGAGGGGGCGAGAGCGCCTGGAGCGGCACAGGGGTGACAGGGGGCTATGGCACTCCGGATGAACCCGGAGGGCGAGTAGCCGGAGGTACCGCGGGTGGGGCCCCCAAAGAGGGGGCTGGGGGGACCCCGGGATCGGTGCCAGATGCCTCGGGAAGGTTCTAGTAGGGAGGCGTGCCTAGGGGCGGAGGAAGCCCTGGGACCGATTATATAAGCCGGACCCCTGAACGGGTCCCGCTGGTTGTTGCTCACCTGAAGACATGAAGACGTCCTCCTGAAGAAGAAGCTGAAGACAAGACCCGGACTCGAGTCGGGGTCCCGGCTTAAAAGCCTTCCCCGGTTGTGTTAGGGCTAGCTAGTTAGCCTGGAGGGATTACCTCGCTAGGTTACCTGGTGGAAGGGGCAGCTACCCCTTTGTGTTAGGGTACATTGTTGTAATAAACGTGTTGCCTCCAGAGACGCCTCGCTCTCCATGTATACCCACTACACAAGTATCCACCAGTGTGGTCTAACACTGGTGTGACAAGTCCATGAAGAAAGCTGTCTGGTGTAGACCAATTAGTTTAAAAAACAATGCATATATTCATCTTCTTTGGTTCTTTCGGTAAAGTCACGTAGAATGAGAATAAAATAATAAATTGATAAAATAAAATAACACAATAATTTTATCAATTTATTATTTTATTCTCATTCTACGTGACTTTACCGAAAGAACCAAAGAAGATGAATCATTGCAGTCACGAAAGCTTTAAATCGAAATTTAATGCATATATTATCAGAGCATGTTTGTTTGCATGTTTTGCCACACGTGTGTGTGATTAATATCGACTTTATGCCCTGCAAAAGGTATCTATTAGGTGTTTGAACATCTTGACACCTGTTTTATTGCCAGAGAGGGTAAAACCTATGTACATTTTTATAAATAACTAAATGAAGCTCTATTTAATTCCAAAAATCTAATTAGACCACATTTGCACACTTGAGGTTTTTTTTAGTTTTAATGGAGCTTGGGGAGTTGAGAATGTCACTCAGGATTCGGATGTACGAGTCACTATCTCTTGGGGGGGAAAGGTTTTCCATCCATAATGATATTCCTTGAGAACAAGAGCTACGTATTCAAAATGTAACGGGAGCCAAAGGAAAATAACAAATATACGCAAAACAAACTCGCAGGTTATTTTGCAACAATGTATATCGAACAGAAAAAATACAGTTAAAAATAACAGCAATTATTCAAACGCCAATATGGGCTAATTGCATCAACGAGCCTCACAAAATATAGTTGAGCCAAATATAATTGTGAAATGAAATGTACTTTAATGGTATAGGTGTGTTAATACATAAGGTATGCAAAAATGTGTTTATATACAAATCTTAATGAATTACAAAAGTGCCAATATTAGGTAATGATCTTGGTTTGAAACAAAGAAAAAGTTCAAAAATTATTATTAGATTTTATCATTAATAATAAATCGTCCTTTTTCAATTTACTGCTGGACGAAGCCTTGCCAATGTTCTGGTGGTGATGGGGGTGGTTTGACCATACATCATCACTTATCAGCGGGGATCATAGAATGAGAAGGAACCAGGACTGGTTCAGATGTCACTTGACACTGATGTTACCTGTGGCTGGAAATCAAACTCGGTATCGACCCGAATCACAAGTGAAACATCTTGTAGAAATCGGCTGGACGGTCCAATAGCAATTCCACTTGGGTGGGCCAGACTCAATGGGCCCTTCCTCCTTGCGTGGACAGCGCCCTGCAGCCAACTAAAATCTAAACTATTTTTTATTTTATCAGGTACGCCCCACTGAGCTACATAGCTCTTTTTCAGAAGTGACCTGGCAACAAATGATAGCTCAACAAAGTGGCCGATCATGTGGAAATTTCTAGCCGCTAAATACTCTAAATGCATATTGATTCTAAATGTGGAGGGGAAAACCAGAGGACACGGAGAAAAATCCACACAACTGCGGCGAGAACGTGCAAACTCCACTTAGAAAGGCTCCCAAGTCAGGAATCGCACCCTTTCAAAAAAAAATTAATCGTTATTTCAGGCTGGGCAATCGTGAGAATTGCCCAGCTGCCAGCTGGAGTGATCCTTAAGATGTCTGCCAGAATACAATTCTGAATTGACCTCACGATTGATCGCACAGCTTTTATACACCTCTGTAACCCTACTGCTGTCCATCTCTGTTACACTGGCATACCCTCTGCCCCACCACATACTCTCCACTCCATCACTCACTTCTCTCCAATTGTAAAACTCGCGTCCCCTTCGATGAGTGGCTGCAGCTTCTCTGCGATGACTTCTGCAAGGTGGAGCTGATCACTCACAGCCGCTCTCAAGCCCAGGGGTAACACCCTCACCGTTGCCTCCGCACGTTACTAATCCGTTCTCGAGGATTTGCTGAGAAAGCTTTTGGGAGTTCCGCTTGCTACAAAAATTCTACCCAATCCCCTAAGCCCTAATCCTCTCATCTGCTGCACCAGACATCTGTGAATAACCTTTCATAAATTTCCTGCGTCACAAACTCCTCATCCAGTAAGTGTAATGAAATGTGTTCATTCCTCATAGCAGCAATTGTAGAATGTGTAAACTCTTTATTTCATATTTGATATGTGTGCGAACTTGACGAACATGCTGTTTGATGGCTGGCTGGGTTGCACTGTGGCAGATCGCTCAGTTCACAATCCAAAGGTTGAGAATTCAAGTCCTGGTTCAAGAATAGCTCCAACCCATCATCTTTCTGACGTCAATTTAATGGGCTCCACATTGTGTGCAGATTAATAGTGGTTGTTCATTACAGATGCGTTCTCTGCCAAATAAATGTGAACCTCTGACCTCTGCCTCAAGACTTATCCATGGTTGTTTAAACATGCAACACTAGCTTTGTTTTATCGTGCCGTTATATTTTGTATTTTCTATTTTTTTGTATGAGTCGCCCATGTTATTTGGTACATTCGACTGAATGACCTCTCCTTTTGCTCATTAATGGCAGTATCAAAAAGTTTAATGTTTTTTTTAATTTATAATATCAAGATTATTTTAGTCTAAAATAGCTCCACCTGGCAGGTGCTGGGTACAGAGGTTTTTTTGTGTCGATTCTGGTGCGTGTGAGGTTACGTCCCCAAGTGCCGTTCAGATGCAGTAGCAGCAATTTTTTTCCATGTTACTGGCAGATGTAAGGTTGAATGTTTGCCAATTGAGTCGATTCAAACGACAGTATTACGACACTGTCGATTGCGATGAGTGTCATTAAACACAGTGTTTGAGGATTCTGCAATCACCGCTGAACTTTCGTTCAATTCCTAGAGCATCAAACCGTCTCCCACATAATTTATCCCTTTTTTACACTTATCTACATTGCAGGATATTGCGAAAGATGTAGGATTCTACCTTCGAATGCATATACTAAATAAAAATATGATTGTCCGTAAACTTGACTATTCAGCTCGGGACACTTGGGCTTTGTTTGAAACTTGGTTTTGAAGTTGCCAGGAGGTGGCAGTGAAGCTGTGGATTCTTGAATCTGGAGCTTTGAATGTTTTATCTCCGCGTATACGGGTGTGTTCTCGGGGTATTCCAGGTTACTCCCACGTGTCAATCACTCGTGAATGGTATTGGTCAAACGGTCCCTATTGTCGGATCCTCCTGAAAAAGCCTTGTATGTATGTATGTTGAACTTCTTTTGCGCCGTACGTAGCCCACCGTGATAGTCGGAGGGGCGGGGCCTTGAGACCCTGCGAGGCTCGCAAGTTTAATGCTGCTGTGTGCTTTCCAAACGCACCACGGAACACAAGTGGATTTGCTTTCATTATCATGTTTGCTCAACCATGATTGAAAAAACACGAGATGTCAACTGCCTCGCCTGGTATATACAGAAAGTTGTTGAAAACCATCTATTACGAAATTAAAGCATGTTTAAGTGTAAACATTTTGAGAAAAAAATATTAAAACGGTAAAAGTTAACCTCAGTAAGTTAACTTCTGTTTTAATATTGGACGTTGACACTGACTTGATTTATCTCCAACTTGGACGATACTCACCTCCATGTAAAAAAAAATGTATATTTCTTTCGACATTTTTAAAGCAACACAATCAGCCGTTTGTCATTGACAAACACTGCGTGTCCTTTCTCTGAGCTGTTTTTTGTTTTGGACAATTGATGTACACCATCGTGTTTTTTGTTTACCCTGTGTGTGTGTGTGTGCCCGGTGCGCATGCAGTGTTCCCACCTCACTTGCCCAAGGGAATGAATGGGCTGGATTTCAAAGGGGAGGCTATCACGTTTAAGGCCACCACTGCTGGAATCCTGTCCACACTGTCACACTGCATTGACCTCATGGTGAAATGCGAGGAGGGCTGGCAGAAGCGTCTGGAGAAGGTGATGCCACCACACCTGTAGAAATGCTAACGCTTTTATGCACGAAGCGACGTTGCATATTGTGGATCGACACGTGGAAATAAATGTGTACCAACAACACCAATCTCTTGCCTATTATTTTCAGTATCTTTGTGGCCACTAATTATTTTTTTAAAATATGCATATAGATTTCTTCATCACTCATTTCATGTTGATATACTACTCCTTAAATGTTTATGAAGCATTCTGACTATTAAACACCCTCTGCCATTAATAATTGGATATCATTATATTCAGGTGTCATTGTCCATTATTTATCAATTCAGTTTTAATGTTCCCAAGAACATTTCAAAAGTAGAAAACATCAATTTAGAAACTGCCTGCCAGAAGACTTTTTGATGATCTCCGTTGATATCAGCAACTTCCGTTGATTATTTGGCTCAGTTTGAAAAACATGAAAGAATTGTATTATTTTTATGTCTAAGATTCTACTTTCTCGGGTTTATTTTTATGGATTTGACATCAGACATTGTGCATTTCTAATGTCTCTCTGTGCCGTTCGGTACGGTTGTGTTTTATAAAAAAAAGTTTGCAGTCATTGTGACAATAAGCAATGACACCACTATTTACCAACCTTTATAATAAGCCATTATCGTTAATAACGGCAATATTAAAAAAGCATTTTTTTTAATGGCTTTGTTCCTAATATTGGCAAGCGGCTATGATATGTTTCTATTTAAATATCAGGAGTATGATTGTACATTGCAAAACCTTGATTCATGAGTGTGGCAAGGGCAGCAGTTTGAGATATTCGTTTTAAGCTGAATACACAACTATACTTCTGCACGTAAAAACAGGTGCTTGAAAAATATCATGAATAAAATTGACTTATACTTATTGAACATGAGCATAACATTGTAGAATTGAATGACTTGTTAAGAATGTATGATTATATCTTGCCTTTGGCATCGAATGAAAATGCCTATGATCACCTGTCAGTGCATTTATGAAACGGTATGATTAGTTCCTGCATGAGCCCCACATGGGATTGGAAACAAATATCACCTTGTGCACAGAAGTGTGACGATCTTTTTGAATAACTTAAGGTGTTTAACTCAGATATGTTTTACTAGTGCTCGTTTGTAGTCTCATTAAAATAAGATAATTCACAATATCCATCAATAAAAATGCACCTTTCAAACTTGTTGCAATTATATACCCCCGAGCTGGTGCGACCTCTGACTATCCTGCTATGTAACAATCCACGCAGCAACTTCACACATCGCTCTTATCTCCTCGGTAGACATCCTCTCGGATGAGTTTCATTCCCTTGGCTGAGACGCCATTATTATGCTTGACCACCATCCCTGCTTACGAGTAAATGTGAAAGAAACACATTTTGTGGTGGAGTTTGCAGTCGTGCTATAACGGCGCCAGTGCTTTAGCAGTGATGTTGTCTGTAACCTTGCGCTTATTTTCGGTGACATTAGGAGCAGGACAGAAGGAGACGCCTGGAGGACGCTTACAGATACGCGATGGACAAGCTGACGACAAAGGCTTACATGGCAGGCCCGGATTTTGAGGTATGTGAAAGGTTCTAGCTCCTTCGCTTTTGTGTAAATCCAGTGATAAATTGGTCGGTTGCTTTTATCACTCCATTCAACCTCTGGGTTTGGCCTCTTTCTGCCACATGATCCAAGAGTTGGCAACAGTGACAGCAACCAAATTGGTGTTTTTATGACAATATGTTCTGTTCTGCCATAAGACTCACCGTGACGCTGTACCAAATCTAATCTCCAGATGTTGCCCTTTGCTTAAAATGCCATCTGGATGACATTTATTTCCCATTAATTTGTTTGCCACAAGTCTCATATTCACAAGTGCTGGTTTCAAATATTTCTCGTGTGACGTGAGAGCCTATGACTCTAAGGTGGTTACAGCTGGTGGAATTCGCGTTATTCAGATGTAATGTCACGATTTATAGTGCAAAGTAACTGGAAAACCTTCAAATGTCAGCTCTGAACAACAAAGCCTATGTCAGGTGAACAAATATCTTAGCAATTGTTCTATCTGAGCGTCTTGTGTTTGTGTGTATTGAACATGTTCACCATAAGTACATATGTTTAATGCAGACTTCATTCCTTGCAAAAGGTATCTATGTGATGTTTGAACATTTTAACACCTGTTGTATTGCCAAGCTGCTCACCTCGAGCTATAAAGTTCTGCTACGTGCATGGTCTTTGTACTGTTCGTCTTTTGGCTTTCACTGGTCTGACACTGGTGAGACTAGGCCATAAGGAAGGCTATCTCTCGTGTAAGCCAATCAGTTTCAAAGACAATGCATATATTATCAGAACATGTTTGTTTGCATGTTTTTTCCACATGTAGGTGTGGTTAATGCAGACTTTTGATGCCTTGTGAAAGGCATCTGTGTGGTATATGAACATCTTAGCACCTGTTTTATTACCACAAAGGGTAAAACCTATTCTTAGTTTCCATATATGTTTTGTGTGTTCGCAGCTTTGTAGTATGGTGATGCACCTGATGGCTTTTCATGATATTGACTTCATGTTGAACTTAAATTAATTGTCATGAATGTCCCTTTAATGTAATTAAAGTTCAACAAATTGCCTGCCTTAAAACAAATTGTACTAATTGGCACGTAAGATTATATAATTCTACCCTTTGTGGAACTGGTTCTTTAGTATTCAGCCCTGGGCGTTATATACATCATATATATGTTTTCATATTTGTAGCTAATTGCTACACCTGAAAGCTTCTCATTAACTACTCTCCAGAATACCGCATTGAGAGACAGAAAGAGGAATACAGAAAAACCTCTGTTGTCCGGCATCCATAAGGAATGGAGAATGCTGGATAATCAAATATTCCGGTTATCCGAGAGTTATACTTATGGTTCACCAATATTTTCCAAGTACATAACACTTTTCAATAAATAAACTAAGGCTACAGTTTAACTATGATATAATAACTAATATACTATTTTACAGAGGTACTCACTGGTCAGTTGTAGAGCATTCTAAGTTGATTGTCGAGAAGCAGTGGGGCAGCTTAGAAGACAGTATACACTACATTACTGTATGTCTAGAATACAGTATACACAGCCTTCTACTAGCACCACCACTTGGTAGCGTCCTGAAGCTTCCGTAAACAGCAGATCTTATGGAGAAGCAGACGGCAAGATGCCGGATGGCTGTCAAAAACGTCTTGGTGCATGAAGGAAGATTTGTCTTGCCGTCTATGACAGATGCCGGTTAATTAAGCATTCCGGATCATCAAGTGACCGTGAGAAAGACACCACTAGAAGAGATGATGGTTGATGGTCAGCAATCGTAACAGAGTGGCAGCTAAAGAATGCAATGTGTCCGAGAGGGTAGCCACCGAGGAGATGGAGCGATGAATTCAGTTTATGGATTCAGGGTGCCTTATGGCAAAATGTTAACTACCTCGCCTGGTATACAGGAGGTTGTGGGTTTGATTCTGACCCTGACACCTGTATATTAGGAGTTTGCATGTTCTCCGTGTGGTCACATGGATTTTTCTCCGGGTCCCCTGGTTTTCCCTCGACATTTAGAAATGTCTTCTTTGGTTCTTTCGGTAAAGTCACGTAGAATGAGAATAAAATAATAAATTGATAAAATAAAATAACAATAATATTCTCACGACGTTTCGGCCACAACACAACACGTTTCGGCCACAACACAAGTGGCCGAAACGTCGTGAGAATATTATTGTTATTTTATTTTATCAATTTATTATTTTGTTCTCATTCTACGTGACTTTACCGAAAGAATCAAAGAAGATGAATCCTTGCAGTCACGAAAGCTTTAAATCGAAATTTAGAAATGTGTTTAGAGTATTTGGCTGCTATAAATTTCCACGCGATAAGCCACTTCGTTGAGCTATCATTTGTGGTCAGGTCGCTTCTGAAAAAGAGCTATATAGCTTAGTGGGCCTTACCTGGTAAAATAAAGATAGTTTATAAATAGTGGCATCCACTTTGGGGAGGTCTTTATCCAGTAGTGGATTGACGATGGCTGATGATGATTATGTACATCCGTTGAGAAGGATTGGGGGATTTGTGACCTCTTGGTTCCTGTTGCCCCCCCCCCCCCTTCCTTGGTCACCAACCTACGCTGACCAGCGTGGTTGAAGTCAGAATCAGAATATTTGTTAATCCTGGAGAAGTCCGATGAGCTATGAAGCTCTTTTTCACATGTCCAGTAGGGATGGATCGGTAAGTCACAACCACAGACGATACCAAAAAAAACGATAGGAGTGCAAAGTGTAGGAAAGGTAAGCAATTCACATAAATAAAATACATAAAGTATTTCAGTTCCAATTGTATAAGTACACCAATTCCCAAGCTTGTGTCAGGCAGCAAACCAGTCCCAGACTGCACCAGGACAACACACAGTCCCTCAATAAAATTGAATTATCAATACATTGATGAGAATCAAAGATACATGACATTTGGATATCTTAAAACATCAATGACCGACATGGCATGCGGAGGCCTTAATCCAACAGTGGATTGGCATAGAGTTGTAAATTATTATTCAATCTAAATTACTTCCACGACCTACAATTTGATATACTGCAGTATATTTCTGTGCTGTTTGACATTTTAGCATGCGTTACACGAAATAATTAAAAATTTGGGCTGTATGTATGTTTCGATTTAAAGCTTTCGTGACTGCAGGGATTCATCTTCTTGGTTCTTTATATAAAATAAAATGTTATTTTATTATGTTAAATTTTTATTATTTTATTATTTTATTATTTCCCTTCTACGTGACTTTACCGAAAGAACCAAGAAGATGTGTGTATGTTGTGGAACTTCTTTCGTGCCATACGTAGCCAACCATGCTTAATGGAGGTGCAAGAAAGAAATTTACATTCATCTGTTTCACATTCCCCTTTCAAAAACAAATTTCCTCCAAGGTACCAGCAACAACCACAGCAGTGCGCTTTTGCCACCCAGATACATTTCTGATGTTTTTTGTTACATGTTGAGACTAATGAGATCTCAATAGCAGACTTTACTCAATGAAAGGCAAGACGAAATTTTGATAACAGCTTTTGTTTTGTAAGTTCTTGACGTGGCTGCCATCATTGTCTTGTGACATTTAAACGTTTAAGGAATGGGTAGTTGTGTGGATGTGTACCGAGGTACCCATTGATATGGGCTCAGTGCACTTGAAAGGGAATTAGGTAAGCTTTCCAGCTATCTAAAAAAAATCATTTAAATTGACTGATCACTTTATTTAGCCTTTTTCAGCTGAGGACTAAGAACATATAATTTTGACCACAATGCGATGAACATTGCCTTCATTGCAACAGCGTGTGAGAAATTTCAGTGAGCGTAGTTTGGATGAAGAGGCATTTGAAGGGAGCTTCGAAGTACTATATGCCACCGTATAACTTTCCGGAGGCTGTTCTCCAACGTTGCTTTTTGTGAGTTTTACATTTAAATTTCATGGTTTTATTTCATGTGAGAGGCTTGAGTTTTAATCGTTTTGTCTCGATATTTCCGGTGCCATATTTAGCTCGCCCGGCTATGAACTCTCCAGAGCTACCCAACTGCTTCTTACTCAAAATATTTCCTTGCACCTTTTCTCCACTGCTTTTTGTGCCAGTATATGCTGTTAAAGAGTGTCATTACGTTATGTAAGAGATCAAAGCTCTACAATGCACCCAATCACAGTGCTCTCGCTTAACAGTGGTATTTAGTATAAACAGATAAATGGAATACGTCCTGCAAAAACATATCCGATGTTTGTGAGGATGAGAATAATCTCTTAAAGGATCAGGTTCACTTCCCCATTTTGTGATGATTCTGGTTTAGAAAATGTATTTGCTGGACCCACAGAGAGAGAGAGAGAGATAATCTTCTCACCATGTGACCTCAGTCTCTCGTCGTAGCATTTACAGCCATCTAAACGGCAATGATGTCACCCTGATTCCAGGTTGTGATATTTTACAGTCCTGTTAAGGTACAGCATTTAAGGGTATTTTACGTCAGTAATTATGCAAACATCATAGCAACTGTACAACCCGTTGTTTCCCAAGAGCACAAAAGCACCTCACTCACACACAACTGAATTATGCTTCCTGGAGTCACATGTTCCCTCACCTTGTTTTGGCCAATCAAAACAAAGTTTCAAAATCTACAGTAAAAATAAGAAACAACGTGAAAAACTAAACATCCTACATTTTCGGAATTATTCTCAAATAAATGTTTTATTATTTTAAAAACAATTACCGTACTTTAATCCGCATTTCCCTGTTGCGACAACTCCTAGCGACAGCGGTACAATTCTACTGGTAGGAACGAAGTTGTAAACTGAGTGTATCAGCCTGCAATAGATTAATGTGTCCGTCCGTCCGTCCCCTTTCAATACTTTAACGAAGTGAAATCTCGTGCTGTTGGGGTGTAAAAATAAAATTGCGCAAAATTCCAATGTTCCTACCAGCCCACCCTGCAGGGACCTGTTGTTGACTGAAGTAGCCGTGCCATTTTACACGATTTATATTAACTCACTCTGTTGTTGTATCCTCA